GCCAATTTGCCCCAAGTCAACAAGGACGTGCTAGCGTGAGAGAAAAAGTCCAACTCTATTGTGGAATGTTTTTTCCCCTCCAACTGCATGAAAATGAAAACGCCACGCCAATCCATGCAAAGAAACTTTGGGACTCGTTTAATTTTATGACATTGACGTATTTTTTTATAGAAAATATATATTTATTTTCTAGTTCATTTTTAAAATTTATGATTGAGTTTTTTCAACAACAAAGGTAAAGTATAGTATAATTATGAACCATGGTGGAACTTGGTGGTAGAGTTTGGGGGTTAATTTAAATTTTTAAAAAGTTTAGAGGTTTAAATTAAAATTTCAAAAAAATTGAAGAGTTTGGTTTACATTTTTTGCAAAAACAAATTGGGGTCTAATTAAAAAAATTTGAAAATTTGAGAGACTTAATGAGAATTTTTAAAAATTATGGGAGGGTTTAATTAAGAATATTCAAATATTTTAAAGCTTAATCTAAATTTCTAAAGATTTTGTGGAGGATAAATTAAATTTTTTGAAAATTTTAAGAATCTAAATTATAATTATTCAAATTTTGAGAGGATCGTGGCCACCACTAGTCTTTACTGTATTCCGCCTCTGATTATGGATGAGATCAATTATCATACTCATATAAGTTTCTTGTAAGTATCTATGCAAAAAATGATTAATTAAATTATAACATATAAAAATAGAATAAAAAAAGAAATTGTATTTACTATATTTTTATTTTTTAGAGAGTCACTCTAAATTAAATTTGATTATTTTTATTATTTTTTACTAATGTAGTACACATTTGAAAGGGACCATTGTTATCTTTACCCTTACCTTACCTCGTTATTACCTAATAATATTGTTTCCAAGAAATTAAACACGAGTTCTCTTCTTAAGATTACAATGTATCTTATCACTATCACTGATACTTATTGTTATGATATAAACATAATATAAATTGATGTATTTGGCATATTCATATTTTGTTTAAATCAAATTGTATTTTTGAAGAAAGAAAAATTATTTACAAACCCCAAAAAACTCAAGGGTAAAGATCATGCGATATTTAAAAAAATATTAAAAAAGTTTTAGAATTTCTTTTTGAAAACAACAATTAAAACTTTTCTACGTAGGTTAATTTTGGGTTTATATTCATATCAGGTCGAATGCATATTAAATTTAATTATCACATTATCATATTTAATTTAGATTTAAGTCGACTTCAAATCTAAAATAATCCGATTTAATTTGAATCGAGTTAATACAAATTTTGACTTAATCAATTTTAGAACATCATTACCTCAAATAATAAATAGTTTAAATTCGAATTGATTTCAATCAACTTTTCAAGTCAGATCATTTTTTTACACCCGTAAAAGTGATAATTACTGTTACTCCTAACCCAATTATCAAAGAGACACCTAACTAAATTGAAAATTAATTTAAATATATTTACTACTAGCTATTTTTTGGTATAATTCACAAATGGTCCATGTTGCTTGTATATTCTTTTAATTTGGTCCTAATTTTAATAAATTAAAATAAATTTAACCCTCGAATCAGGTGGTGCCATGTGTCATGGCACATGTCATCATTCGATTGAAGGAATAAATTTATTTTGATTTATTTTAATAAATAGATTTATTTTCCTCAAATTAGAGGGTAACATAGAGGATTCAAACCTGGACCTCCTGAGTAATGGAGCAAGCAACAAACCATTGAGCCAAGGTTATTATTTGAAACAATTGACACAACAAATAGTATATATCTTGTATCTTTTTTGGTTACACACGGGAAAACTAAAAAATTAATGTAAGGAAAAACCTCTTGGAAAAGAGATTCCTCTACTATCCGCTTCCAACAAAGGAGAGATTTCGGCCGGTGGTGAGCAAAAGATCACGACGTCATCGTCCAGAGTACACCCCATCTTGGAGAGGCCGTCTGCACAAAAATTATATTCTCGGTAGATATGCTGGAACCTTAAGATATATTCTTAATTTTTATTTTATCTTAACTTATAAATCTATTTTATTCTAATTTTAATATAAAAATATATGTTTTAATCCTATCTTCACTTAAAAGTATATTTTATTCTTATCTTAATCTTAAAAAAATGTTTTCAAAATATTGAAACTTAAAATATATTTTATTCTTAAGTTAAAATATATTTTGAAATTAATATATTTAAAAATATATTTTTTAAAAGTTAAGATAATAATAAAATATATTTCTAATTTAAAATAAGAATGAAATATATTTTTAAGTAAAAATAATAATCAAATATTTTTATATTAAAATAAGATTAATATATTTTAAATTAAGATATTTAAAATATATATATTTAAAAATTAAGATAAGAATAAAATATATTTTAAGAGAAGAAAAAAGTAAAATATATTTTCAAAAGTTAAGAAAAAAGATAAAATATATTTAATAAGTTAAGAAAAAAATAAAATATATTTTTAAAAGTTTAGAACATATTATAAATTTAGGTAAAGTGTCTATATATTAAGATACAAGATATATAGTATTTGTTGTCTTAATTGTGTCAAATGATAATTTTGGGTTAATAGTTTGGTGTTTGCTCCATCACCTAGGAGGACCCAAGTTTGAATCCCCTTTGCCCCTTTTTTTGTTGATTTGTTTTCTTCCAATCAGAGGATATCGAATGATGGAACGTGTCATGACACTTGTCACTAATGACACGTGGTACCACTTGATTCGATGATTAAATTTATTTTAATTTATTAAAATTAAAATCAAATTAAAAGAATATATAAGTAATAAGGACTAATTGTGTAAATATATCAAAATGATTTAACTACCACATCACCTATACCATTAAACGTTAACGGTAGGTAGCTTGATTGAAGTATTTAAATAGTTAGGTGGTCTGATTAATTAAATTAAAAAGTTGATGGTCAAAATGAAATTTGAAAATAATTTAGTGGTCACCCGTGTAGTTTACCCTAATTGTTTATAGAAGTAGGGAATAAGTTGTCCAAAACAATAAATGAATCAATGTATATGAAATATTAATGGTGAAATTATTTTCTCTATAAATGATTTTAGTTTTAAAATATATGTTTAATGTATATTTAAGTAATATTTAAATAGTTTCAAAAAATAATTAAATAAATCTAATAATAATTAAAATTATATAAAAAAATATTACTACCGATAATGTATCAAATAAGTATTATAAATAAAGTGTGGGAGAAAAAATACAATTAAAGTTGGTTGCTAATTGATTGATAGGAACACCCATGACGAAATCCATGATCAGCTAGAAGTGCGAAAATTCAAAGTTCGTAGATTATCATTTTTTTGACAGCTGTTGTAGATAGTATAATATAAGGTTAATGCGATACTGAAAATATTAATATATTTTAATATTTTGGTAGAGTGTTATTTAAAATATTATTTTTTTTACGGGAATTAATTTCACCATCTAAAATGAATATTCTTGATATTAACATTTTTTGTAGAAAAATAATATTTTAGGTAGCGTACGATATTAATATTTTTGGTAAAAAAAAATAACATTTTAGGTAGTGTTTTACCGGAAATGTTAAAAAATATTAACTTTTCTTATAGCGCATTTTCTTAGTCTTATATTAGGCTACCTTTCCTTAGAAATCTCCTAATTTTTGGGAGAGAATTTAAAATACAACTTATTAATATAAGGTTAAAAAATGATATAAATCATTTGCAATCGAAAATATTATAAATTTATATAATTTTATCGGTTGTAGACTCAAAACTTATAATATAATTTTTTCGATTGTAACAAAAAATTAAAAAAATTATATAAATTTTTAGATAAAATGTGATATTTTAGATTGAAATTCGCTTTAACTTTTGTCTCTTCTTAAGATTATAATATATTCCATCCGTCCCACTCAAGTTATCCCTTATTGATTTATTTGGTCAATATTTAACTTTGACTTATTATTATTTAAAATTTATATTGTTAAAAATATAAAAAAATATTTTTAAAAAACCTTCAATCAATTAATTTTGAAATATATAGATAGAATTTATTTTTTAAATGTTTAAAATAATAATAATCAAAGTTTAATAATTTTTACTTTTAAAAATATTGATAAGGAATAAATTTAGTAAGACAGAAATAATATCTTATTATTATCACCCATATTTGTTGTTATGATATAAACATATTAACACAATAATATAAAACGATGTATTTGCATATTCATATTTTGTTTAAATTAAATTGTATTAAAAAAAGTTTTAGAATTTTTTGAAAAAAAATTAATTAATCATTTTTTACATTTAATTGAACTTTTAAAAATAATAAATTACATCATGTAGATCTTTTGATTTTTTTGTTTGACCGTTATTTTACCTTGAGATTGTTAACATGATTTATAAATTTATTATCATGGTAATCCACGTGTAAATAAAGATAATAAATATTTTGATGGGTAAAGTACACAAATGGTCTCCTGATTATTGGGTGTTATTTTGTTGAGTCCCCCAACTCTATGATTTTTTTTGTTGAGTCCCTCGACTATTAAAAGTTACAAAATGGTCACCTAACTATTCGTATGTTTCAAACTCGTCCTTTTTTTGGAGAAAAATTGACGGTCGTCTATGCTGAACGTCAACATGTTGACTGAGATATGATAGTTGTTTGAGATTCTATGATAAGATATTAACATATCTTAGTCGTTAGGTTAACATCTAACTCAGACTGGCGTCATTTTTTTTACCAAAAAAAGTTTTGAACATATGGATAGTCGAGTGACCATATTATACTTTTACTATTATACTTTTACTAGTTGAAGGACACAACAAAGCAACGTCCTATAGTTAGATGACCATTTTATAATTTTAATAGTTGGAGAACTCGACAAAATAATATCATATAGTCGGAGACCATTTGTGTATTTTACCCTATTTTGATATAAGTTAAAAGAACCTAGAAAATGAAAGTTCCAGTAGTAAAATAATCGGAAGACATACACAATTTATACAAGGATTCATTTTTATTATTAAGCAGAAAGACAGGAGTAAAAACAAGTGGACCAACTGAATAATACATTGCCAAATATAAATACGTCTACATTATTCACTTCAAACGCGGAGACTAGGCTTGGCTCCTAATTTTCTTCTTTATGGCTCTTTATATTTATTTTCAAACCATCTTTTGTTGCTTTATTTGAATCACTCTTCTCCTGCAAAACAAAGCAATTGGTTTTTATTCTTTAACTGTTTAAAGATAAAAAACAATGTGAAATAATGCACCTTGACGAAGTTTATATTACCTTTGGAGTACTGTCAAAGCCGTAGATTAGTAGTGGTGAGGAGGAGGGGGTGAAGAGTAGACATAATGGGGTGACGGTGGGGGAGGAGACTTGTACTTGTATGACTCCTTGGGAGGAGGATGAGGAGACTTGTACTTATAAGGTGGTGGAGGAGAGTGCACTGGTGGTGGTGGAGACTTGTACTTGTAAGGATGCTTGGGTGGGGATGGAGGAGGTGGTGGTGACTTGTATTTGTAAGGATGTTTGGGTGGTGATGGTGGTGGAGGTGGTGGGGACTTGTACTTGTAAGGGGGTGGAGGATAGTGCACCGGAGGTGGTGGAGACTTGTACTTGTAAACTGGAGGTGGCGGGGGTGGAGACTTGTACTTGTAAGCATGTTTGGGTGGTGATAGTGGTGGTGGAGACTTGTACTTGTAAGGATGTTTTGGTGGTGATGGCGGTGGTGGTGGTGGGGACTTGTACTTATAAGGTGGTGGAGGATAGTGCACTGGAGGTGGTGGAGACTTATACTTGTAAACCGGAGGTGGTGGTGGTGGAGATTTGTACTTGTAAGGATGCTTGGGTGGTGATGGTGGTGGTGGCGACTTATATTTGTAAACTGAAGTTGGAGGTGGTGGAGGAGACTTGTATTTGTATGGGTGCTTGGGTGGAGGTGGGGGAGACTTGTACTTATAAATCGGGGGAGGAGGAGGAGGAGACTTGTACTTGTAAGGTGGAGGAGGATAATGCACTGGTGGTGGTGGTGGAGACTTATACTTATAAACAGGGGTTGGTGGGGGAGGAGACTTGTATTTGTAAGGTTTCTTGTGTGGTAGGGGAGGAGAGTATACCGGAGGAGGAGGTGGTGGTGATTTGTAGTGGTAGGGTGGTGGTGGGTACTTCTTAGAAAGCGGCGGAGGAGAGGAATAAGTGTAATCCGCGGAGGTTTCAAAAGGCAAACTGAGAGACACAGCTAAGATTAGAAGAGTGAGAAAGAGGGAGGCCATGGAAGACCCCATGTTTACTACGAAACTGGGTTTAGTTTTGTTATGCTCTTAGCCACCTTCTTATCCTCCTTTATATAGATTTTGTTTTTACCTTATAATCTTTGATAAAGTAATTTAAAATTGTAAAAAGTTATTTAAAGAATTGTAAAATGTAAATAAAAAAAGGGGTATATTCAATTGGTTGCAAGCTAAGCAGAGAATAAATAAGGGTGAAGTGTATAAAATATTTAATTTACATGTGATTGCCTCGTAGTTGACTCTATACCGTTAGACTTGCTACATCAATCTTTCGTACCAAACCAGCCACGATAATATTAATATTAATATAAAATTATAGAGTGAAGTACATGTCGAAACGATTTTTACGCGGAGCGGGGGGGCGAGATTTTTGAAACCGCGTCATTTTTAATTATTATCTTTTCAATTGGATTTTTAATTAAAAACAGTGCGATTTTAGAAAACCTCTCGTTTCGAAAAATTAGAAATTCCTTTACGATAAAAATATAAGGTTCGAGGAGTCGCCACCAATCTTTGATTAGGGTGTGATTGGGCACCCAAAAACATTTTGTCATTTTAAATTAATTTTAATTAAAACGACAAGGAGAGGTTTGCGTTATCAAAATCTGAGTTCGGGAGTCGATTACGTGTGGGGAAGGATTAGCACCCCCACAACGCCCTAAATCGGTACCTAGTCGATTAATTAATTTCTTTGCAACGAATTTCACAAGTTCAAATTTGATTTGATTAATGATCCCTTTAAACGACAAACATGCCAATTTGCAACATTCAAAGCAACAAAATAGATTTAATTTAAAATTACCAAGTCATTAGAAAGATAAAGAATATTCGATTATTTAAAAATATCGAGACCAGATCTTTAGTTCAGTTCTAACGACCTTTTCTCGAAAAGTTTAAATAGTCGAATATTTCCTTTTCTTTCGCTCCCAAATTTTACAATGATATATCCAAATTTAATTAGGCGTTACTGACGGGATACCATTTTAATTTAAAATCGTCAAAACAACTTTCCTGTAAGTTAAGGAAAGTCATTCTGATAATTTTAGATTAAAAGGGCATTACCCTTAATTCCAATTATGTGATTAGATCGGGTCATGCACATGAGGCTAAACATGCATAAAAGCTACACCTAAATATACGAACGCTAACAACATGCTCGGAATGTGATATCTCAATAAAGATCCCATACACATTTAAAATATATATATATATATATATATATATATATACACTCTATACATAGCTATACTTAATGAACAAAGATGGCCTAAACACAACCAACGAAAACATAGCATAACAAATTATAAGATTTCAGAAAATAATTATATTTAAATTAAACTTTAATATCCTACTTATGAATAAAATACAAATTAAGGTAGAAATGCTAGCATTATACCGTACTGAATACTAAGAGCTGAAATGAAACTATTCTCATTACAAGGGACTAAAAACAAAATAGAACAAAACACACTCAGGACTAAAATGCAACATACAAAAATGTGGATGTCGAATGTTTAAGACGACAAAGATTTAAACACAACAAAACATAGGGCTAAAATAAAAGAACTCGAAACAACAGGCCAGAAACATAAATAACACAAGATATGAATTAACAAACGAGATGGACTAAAATAAATGTCCTGAAATTTAAGAGTCAAATACATAAAACTGTGAAAAACTTTAAACAACATGGTTCGTACTAAAATGTAGCAAACATAAAGATTGAGAGCCCAATTTAAGATTTCCACAACATCAAAGCGGGGATTAAAACAAAACAGTTGAGAACTGCAGGGACCGCGACGTGGTTAAACCTCTCCTAGGCTCGGGTTCAAACGGCGTCGTTTTGGAAGCTGAACATATTAGGTGCCTTTGGTTTATTTTTAACCTAATTTTCATTTTCCCTTTAGTTTCATTTTAGCAAACTTATCCCCCCCCCCCCCGCCGTTCTCAACTTCTCTCCCTCAAACTCTCTCCTAACCCTCGACGAAGCCCAAGACCTCCCTGGTATCTGCCGTAGCAACCGCCGTGGTTGCTACCTCCAAACGACCCCGACGAGAACCCCTTCAAGTACCAACCTAAACCGGCAACCTAAACCCAAACTAAACTTGAAAACCCAACCGGCTTCACCCTCTAGTAAACCTACAAAAACCACGGCCATCGCGACCTTTTTCTTCCCCAAAAGACTCCGATGAGAGCCACCATCCAACTACCCGGCCAACATATGACCAAATCTACACCGAACCCTCCAAATCCCTAAAGCTCGAGACCTAAAACCGACATGCACGACTCCAAATGAACGGGAAGCAAAAGGTTTTACCTTATCGCAGACGGGGTGTGGATTTCTAGTGACGAAAGTTACTGGATCGAAAGGGTAAGTGTCTTGCCTTGGGTTTGTGTTCTATGGTTGCTGGTTGCTGGGTATTTCGTTTTTTTTGTGTTCTTTTTGGGTTGTATTCTCTGTTGTTTTCTTATGACTGAGGGATTGGTGTTTCCCTTTTTTTTGTTCCTCTCCCTTGCCGATGACCGAGGGCTCTCCCTTACCCCCTTCCTTTCCTTTATATTTCTAGTTTATAGATTTCTTTCCAGTTTTCTTCTTTTCTGTTTCTGTTCTCGTTTGGTGTGTTTGCAGGGCTCTGGAGCGAGCAAGTCACGGGCGCGAGCAGCCTGGGCACAGGCGATGGGGAACAGTCCCGAGAGACTTCACGTGGGTAGTACCCGGTTGGTTCGTGCTGTCTTGGAGTTCCGAGTGCGTTAGGAGCCGTTGGATCACCTCCGATCTAACGGTGGAGGCTTCTGGGAGGATTGAGAGTCGTTGGATCATGAAGCCAGATCCAACGGTGGAGGCTCAGCTGCGCATGGAGATGGTGACAGGAAACCCTAACGGGTCTAGGGTATCCTCAAATGGGCTGCTACTTTGGGCTTGAGCCTGTTGTATTTTAATTATTTGGTTCGGCCTGTAACAAAAATGGCAATATTTAGGGCATATTTTTATATTTAATTATTCAATTATTTAACTATTTAATTACTTATCCGTATATATATATATATAACTACATAATACCAAATTTATGCTAATAACCGAAATTGCAATAAAAACAATAATAAAACCCGATTAAACACGAATAACACCCCGGACAAATTGAGCGTCTACAGCTGCCCCTCTTTGCTCATTGTCGTGTAACGAGAATAGAGCAAAGATCAATAGATGGACAAATTTGTCTGGTCATGAAATATTCAAAAGATTAATCCGTTTCCGCAACTTCGGGATAGTGGGACTTAAAAATATTCGGAAAACGAGCTCGCTCCCTCATTTTAGGGAGTATAGAACTCGAACAATTTTCTGCGAACGAGTTCACTCCCTCTTTCTTCGGGGAGTATAGAACTCGAACAATCTTCTGTCAACGGGTTCGTTCCCTCTTTCTTAGGGAGTAGGAACTTGAAGAATCTTCATCAATCGTGTCTGCTCCCTATTTCCTCAGAGAGTATAAGACCCAAACAATCTTCAACAAATCTTGTCTGCTCCCTATTTCTTCAGAGAGTATAAGACCCAAACAATCTTCATCAATCGTGTCTGCTCCCCATTCTTTCAGAGAGTATAAGACTTGAACAATCTTCATCAATCGTGTCTGCTCCCTATTTCCGCAGAGAGTATAAGACTCGAACAATCTTCATCAATCGTGTCTGCTCCCTATTTTGCAGAGAGTATAAGACTCGAACAATCTTCAACAATCGCGTCTGCTCCCTATTTCTTCAGAGAGTACAAGACTCGAACAATCTTCATCCATCGTGTCTGCTCCATATTTCTGCAGAGAGTATAAGACTCGAACAATTTTCAACAATCGTGTCTGCTCCCTATTTTTTTCAGAGAGTATAAGACTCGAACAATCTTCAACAATCGCGTCTGCTCCCTATTTCTTCAGAGAGTATAAGACTCGATCAATCTTCATCCATCGTGTCTGCTCCATATTTCTGCAGAGAGTATAAGACTCGAACAATTTTCAACAATCGTGTCTGCTCCCTATTTTTTTCAGAGAGTATAAGACTCGAACAATCTTCAACAATCGCGTCTGCTCCCTATTTCTTCAGAGAGTATAAGACTCGATCAATCTTCGATTATCGTTGGGAAATCTGCAAACATTTAAAATAATCATGCAATGTCATGATCCTATTCATGCCTACGATGTATGCAATTTAATCCACTTTCTTCTTCGAAAGAATACTATCCCCTTTGATTTCAGTGGAACTCGGTTTCGCTTTGGGCATAGAGCATTTCACCAGTTCACCCCAGTTGATGCTCTCAATACTATAACTTTTGGCTTGACAAGACTTTGACTTCTTTCTTTCTTGAGGCCTGCCAGTACCCCTGACCAATCTTCTTGATAAATGACAACATCCTTGGGTCATCTATTAATGGCTGTGATTTTCTATGAATTCCAAAGTTTTAGCTTTTCCCAACCATACAAGCTTATGGGTAAAACCATTGCTAGCTTCAGAATACATGCATTTCCAGAACCTTTTGCATAATAATACAAAATGATCTCATGTACCACCAGTTAAGCTATGCGTTTTAACTTTCTCAAGATTAGATGCTTGTAAAAGGGAAATTAAGAAGGGAAAATATCTCTTTATTTATATAAATGGCGAAGAATTTTTAGGCAACTACATGACAAACTTTTAATCGGAAAAGAACAAAAGGATAGGTGTCTTCAAATATCAATAACACAAATGCTTTTGAACTGGCACGCCGTCAGAATGACTCGAGTGTAGCTTCTGTCAAAAGGACCTCCAAAATGGTGATGACACCTAAGAGTGCGAAACTCTTTCTGAGCCCCAAAATCTCCCATTATTGGATGCCATAAACCAATATTGAATCTCACGTGCATTCAATTCCTCCTCTGGTTGTCCTCATCGAGACTCATTGATCTTTGGTCTCAACCCCAATGGCCATTGTCGTTACCCATGTCAGGAGCTCTTCCTACTTCCAAAAACAATTCAGATTATCCACCATGCACGAACTCT